GAGAACCTGCTAGTCTGCCAAGAAGATAAGACTGCCACCATCTACGGGCCCTGCCCTCCAGCTGGAAAGTAGTGAAATCCACCCCATGGGACTCCAATATCCTCATGTTGTGCAGTCTGTCCCTGCACCGATCAATGAAGTCCTGAGGATCCTCATGCCGCTTACCCCCGAAGACAGGAGGGTGCAATCTAGTCCATCTGTCCAATAACTTCTGCAGCTCGCCGTCCGCAGCAGGTCTAGCCTCAGGTGCAGCTGCTGCAATTGGTTGGGCTCTGCCTACGGGTAGTGCACCTAGGGTTTGATATACGGCAACTGCATGCCCTAAATCCTGGGCAGTAGGGGTCTGTGATCCCCCTCCCGCCTTAGATATGGTTGGGTCCGCTGGAAATAAACCAGCCTGGGTCATAGTGTCCATGAACCGCAGCATACGGCCAATGACCTCCTGAAAGCCTGGTGCTGACATGAAATCTACCGGGGCTGGGTCTGTTGTGGGCACCTCGCCCTCCTCCTTAATGATGGGATACTCCATAGGAAAGTATGTCTTATAGTCTCATCCGTTGTCTCACGCATTGTCACGACCCAATTCTAGTTTAGGTCGTGATGGCGCCTAGCACCATTGCTAAGAAAACCAAGAGCGAACAATTTAGTGACTTTCCATTTTCTGTATAAGTTTTTCAAGTAAATGACTTTCCTTAAATTTAAGAAAGATTTGATAATAAGGTATTTTAAATAATCAAAACTAAAGCAGCTAGATAAAAATCATAATCATAGAAATACAACCCAAAAATAAAAAATCTACTAGTATGTGCCACGACCCGGAGTCACAAATGTATGGGCATTCTAGCAGAATATACAAAAGAATATTAATCTACTGTCCGAAATAAGATAGACAGATAATAATAGCAAAAGGAAGACTTTTCCTGATCTAATACGACTCGGAAGGGCAACTCATCATGTAGTCTCGTAGCGGGGATCAAATATGCGCACCGGACTAGTAACCAGATGTACCCACCTCAGGTCCTATACAATTAAGTACATAAGTGTAGTATGAGTACATAAACATGTCCCCAGTAAATATCCAGTCTAACCTCGAAGAAGTAGTGACGAGGGGTCGATTTTGACACTTACTAGGGCTAAAAATGACATATCGATATTTTATACTAAGCATGGTTTACATGAATAACATTGAAACTCAATAATAGGAAATAATAAATACTCTTTTCACAAATTTTAAGTCCCAAGTTTATTATCATCATTTTTATATCCCAAGTCATTTAAGCAATATCAATTATGAATAGTTTAAAAGAATTATCATGCGCGAATCATGTCGAGGTCGTATGGCCCGATCCAACATAATATTTAAATTGTGCATTGCCGAGGGTCAAACGACATGAACCATAGATGCATCTATCTGCTACCGAGGCGTTCGGCCCTCTCCACAAATAGAAAACATTTGAAGCAAAACACATATTCTCATTTATGGTCAAGTGTCCCATTCGTAACTTCAAGTAAGTGAATTTTACCTTTTTACAATTCTTTTATCAACTTTCAATATGACTTAAGCAATTAAATTAATAAGTAGGGGTGCAAACATTTCAAATAAGCATGGTACGAGTCCCAGACAACCCGGACGATAGCATAATTAGTAGCTACGCACGGACTCTCGTCACCTCGTACGTACGTAGCCCCCACAAATAGGTGCACATATTTACTTAGTTTACCTATAGGGTTAATTCCCTCTTACAAGGTTGGAAAAGATACTTACCTCGTCTCAAGGCCTATTTTCTGGTCTAAGATTGTGCTCAAACCCTCAAATCGACGCCGAACAATCCAAAACTACTCAGATAGTGAATAAAGTAATCAATTCATACTCAAAAGTTTGTATTTCAACTATTTAAGAGGTTACCCAACCCTAAATGTAAGATGCTTAAAATTCGCCTTCGGGCCCACGTGTCCGATTTCCGAAAATTTTCAAAGAAAGTTGTTACCCACAACCCCATGAACTCAAATATATAATTTTTACTAAGTTCCATAACCGATTTCATGGTCAAATCTCATTTTTATCAAAAACCTAGGTTTCATCTAAACCCTTGATTTTCACTAATTTTCACATGTTAATCTACCCATAATCTATATATTTAACTCATGTTGTGTAGAAATTACTTACCTCAAAGTGCTAGATGAAAACCCTCTTCAAAAGCTCCAAAAATCGCCAAAGAGATGAAGTGAAATGAGATAAATGGGCTAAGTCCCGCATTAAATGAGCTGGGCACAGGTCTCTGATGTCTCATTTGCGACACCAGGTTCGCAAATACGAAGGCCGCAAATGCAACAAATACCTCGCAAATGCGGACCCCGAGCTTCAGCTGCTAAGGTCTCAAATGCAACGGAAGGGTCGCAAATGCGAACACTGCCCCAGGTCGAGCTTCTTCGCAATTGTGAAGCTCTTCTCGTAAATTCACATTTGCGAGCTATTTCTCGCATTTGCGAGACCTGCAACTGCTGCCAAGAAACACCCAAAAACTGGTGTGTTTTTCACTCCTCCCGAATGTCCGAAACTCACCCGAGCCCTCAGGGCTCCACACCAAACATCCACACAAGTCTAACAACATCATACAAACTTGCTCGCGCGATTGGAACACTGAAATAACATCAAAAACCACAAATTGGACGCCAAAACGCATGGATTCTCTCATGAACTCAAAAACTTCTAAAAACACTTCACAACATCTGATTCCTATCAAATCAACTCGGAATGACTCCAAATTTTGTGTGCAAGTCTTAAATAACATTACGGACCTGTTCCAACTTCCGAAACTGGAATCCGAACCCGATATCAAAAGGTCCACCCTAGATCAAACTTTCCAAAAACTTCAAATTTCTAACTTTCGCCAACTGAACCCGAAACGACCTACGAACTTCCGAATCCACTTCCGGGTGCGCTCCCAAGTCCAGAATCACCATACGGAGATATTCTGAGGCTCAAAATCCCAAATGGAATTCTAGAATGTTAAAATCTGCTTTAACCCAAACTTATGAAATTCACTCAAATGTTAACTTTCACTATTAGGTGCCAAAATGTTCCGGGTCATCTAAAGCCCGATCCGAACATGCGCCCAAGTCCGAAATTATCATACGAACATATAGGAACCGTCAAATCCCGATTCCGAGGTCGTTTACTCAAAATATTGACCAGAGTCAAACTTAGCCTTTCAAGCTAACCTTAAGGAATCAAATGTTTCGATTTCAATCGAACTATTCCAAATCCCGAACTAACCATCCCCGTAAGTCATAAAATAGTAAAAGCACATACGAGAAGTTTTATTTAGGAAAACGGGGTTCTAGAAAACAAAACGATCGGTCGGGTCGTTACACACATAGGGCAAGTAACATCAATATAGTTAAGATATGAAAATGCACGAAGTCTTTACTAGCCAATTTTTTTAATTTATTTATGTGTTTCTTTCCCTTTTTTTTTTTTTTTACTGTCTTCGGATAAAAATGACTTTTACATTACCTTTCCCCATCTGGATACATTTAAGTAACATCGAAATCGTATATTCTTGTTGCACATTGGTATATCTTGGGTGCCTCTTTCCCTCTCATTATTGTATTTTTATGTTATTTGTATTGGGACAATAATATATTTTATTCCCATTTTCACCTACAACACTTAACATCGGGATCTTATGACCTCTCAAACTATTACGAAGTAGAGTTATTATACTTTTATTAGCTAACATGACAAAGAAAGTATATACACTTAACTAAAGAGTGTAAAAAAATTTAATTGCATTTTGAATAGAAAATAATGTGAAAAAGGCGAGCACCTGATTGTGTTGTGCACTTAAATTTGGATTTGGTCTCGTAGAATGATAATAATTCTATTTTACCTAAAAATGATACGCCCATTGCTAAGTTAAAATGTATAATTAAAAAGGAGACAAGTTAGAAGAGTATATATGTATTATTTATTTTTTTACTTTATACATACATACTTTGAATATTTCAATAAATATTTAAAAAAATACTAAAATTGATCTTATAAGCTTAGAGGATAATTGGATAAACTTATAAATAAAAGGTGTTCATAAGCTAAATGTGAGTTCCAGCATTTGATACTTCATATACCACTAACGAGAACAATAGCGTAAGCATGATTTTATATAAGTGATGTCGCATTTAATAAGTTGATTACTATAACTAATAGTAGTGACGTACGTAAAATGTTATGTAAGCTGTATTATATTTAAAGAATTCATCTCTATAACTATCTTAATGCTACAAGTTCAATCGAACCAAGTACTTTATATATATATATATATATATACACACTTTGAACCTATAATTTTAAAAATATAGTGTCTTAGTATTAATAATTTTAAATGAGAAGAGTAAAACTATCAAACTTACATCCAAAAGTTGCAAATTCCAAAAAAAAAAAAGCAGAATAAAGCGATAAAAAAGAAGAAAAAAATAGAAATAATAAGAAAAATAAAATTCGATAGTTTAATAATGACTCTTAACCAATCATGAACATCATCTTTAGCCAAAGCCAGCTCTCATCCCATACGTATTTGTCAGGTTGAATCACTTTCATACATCTCCACACGCGCCGATCCTGCGCGTCTCATTAAATCATTCTTTTTCACCAAATCAACGAGGGAACTCCTCTCGTTGAAAGCGGAACCGGTTGTCACCGTTAAACTGTACCCTCATTACTGTACCATTAAATCTCGCCTCAGGACTTGTACCCCGAGAGGTAAAAATAAAGAACCCGTTTTATTGGCTTGTTTTAAGTGCTTTAAGCTAAAATCACTTTTAAATAAAGTAAAAAAATATTTTTAATTATTTATTTTTAAGTTAAAATGACAAAAACAAACCAAAAGTAAAAAGTTAGAATTACTGCTCAAAAGCTATTTTGACTTAAAAGTCACTTGAAATAACCTCATTATAGTCATATTTCTTCCCACTCATTAGACCAATGTGAGAGAGAGATACTTTATGTGCAGAAAAATACGTATGAATCTATAGATACAGATAGAGATATCTAAATGTGCGCCTATACATACATTTGAATATTTGTAGAGAGAGAGGAATGAGTGATCGAGGGTTGGACAGAGAAGAGAGAGTTTAAGAGAGAGAAACTGTTCGGATTGGTATTCCTCGACCGCCTTGAAGCTTCTTCAGAAGAAGAAGAGAGAGAAGAAAAACCTATAATTTTCTCTCTTTTGGTCTGTCATTTTCTCGTAAAATTTGGATGTGTTTGAGTCAGAGGATTTGAAATTGTGATTTTCGACATTTAGGGTTTGAATTGGATTGGATATGTTGATCCGAAATGCGCACGGTTGAGAATTTGAGCTCCGATAAGCATAAGAATCTAGGGTTTGGAGGTGGGGGATATGGATGTGGATTCAACGATGTCGTCGGAATCTGATCACGATCAGAATAACGGCGCGTCGTCGGAGCAGCTAAACGGCCAGTCATCGGCCGGAGGATCTCCGCCGGAGACTCCTCAGGATCAGCAGCATCCGGCAACTTCTCAGCAGCAGCAGCAGCAGGGCAGTACTCCGGTGGCGGGGCCAAGGTGTGCTCCGACTTACTCGGTGGCGCACGCTGTTCTAGAGAAGAAGGAGGATGGTCCAGGGCCGAGGTGTGGGCATACCTTAACGGCTGTACCGGCGGTTGGAGAGGAGGGTAGCCCCAATTACATTGGTCCCAGGCTTATTCTCTTTGGTGGTGCAACTGCGCTTGAAGGGAATTCTGCTGCTCCAGGGACTCCTTCTTCTGCTGGAAGTGCTGGAATTCGTACGTTTCCTTGAAGTCTCCAAATTATCCAACTTGTACCCTTTTTTTGAGCAATTTTTGGACTTGACTAGGATGTGGTCTTTCCAGTTATGTAGACTAAATGCAACGAGTGAAGTGACTTTTACTGGTCTCTGAAAACCTCTGAATACAATGTTTATGCGTAAAACAAAAAACAGAATTTGATTTTTGTAGAATAATCAATTGATAGAAGAGATCTTAATTGCAGGTTTAGCAGGTGCTACAGCTGATGTGCACTGCTATGATGTTTTGACAAATAAATGGTCTAGGTAAGTGCCTATTGGTGTCACTGATAAGCTACTTTCAGTTTTGTGGTTTACTGAGATTGGATAAAGTATGTCTCTGTTTCTTAATAATCACAGGATGACTCCTATAGGAGAGCCACCCACGCCAAGGGCTGCTCATGTTGCTACAGCCGTTGGAACCATGGTTGTT